TAATATGATTGTATAATTGCCACAAAATCGTTGCAATCTTTAAATTTGAATATTGCAAAGAAAAGTGAAGTCCATCAAGTCCATTAGCTCATATGATACATTGTACTGATAAAATCCCTCAAAGAAAGAGTATAATGTCGCGGATGTCGGAAAGGACAAACCGTGGAATGACAGGAGAGCGTAAAGACACTATGCGTAGCGGCGAGACAGGGGTTAGCCCGGGCTCAGCTGTTCAGGAAATGCCGTATAGAAACCGATGCCCTCAGGTAGCGGACGTGGGGCGACCTGGTGCTAGGCGGGTCTCAGGACATCCAAAAGTCAATGCTGAGCCCCGGCAGACTGAAACACCAGGAAATATATAGCCCCAGAGGGAGAGAAACACCGGAAGGACAGCAAAGAACCGGAAATGAGAGACAGGAAAGAGAAGGAGCGCCCTCTGCAGCATATAACATATAAAGTACGGTTTCAGTATATTATGAGATAACTATAGTTCTTTGGAATTCAAGGTATGATTGGTAGGTAATATGATAATATAATTACACCTCATACCAAATCAAACAAGAGTATGAAGAAGCTATTGTAGTATTTCTTCTTTTTAATAACAAAACATTGAATATGCTAATAAAATACACATAGTGTGTATAGCATTGCTCAAGAAACTCATTAGCACATTTCATATGGAAACATAGCCACAATATTGTCTTATGGAAATAAAACAAAGCTTAGTATCTCAGCACATTTTATCAAAGGCACATGAATTTTGGTCAGTTTTTTTTACTAGACCACTGCCTGTGGTTATTCATGTATCGAATAATCCTGGGCTCTTGCCACATTGGTTTCTACTGTGGGATATTTTTCATCAGACTGATGAGTGTAGACAGATACCTAGCAAAAGTCCATTCAGTGTAGGCACTGAAGCCAGAACAGCAGCATCTGGATTCTTTGGTTTTTGGAAAAAGAAAACCCTCAAATAACATACAATCAAGTAATGGAGTCATTTAATAATAATAATAATAATAATAATAATAATAATAATAATAATAATAATAATAATAATTCCAGGAAGAATAACAACATCCAAGAATCAAATGCTCTCTGAATGATTGTGTATTCAAGTATAACAAGTTTTGGTTTAACCTGCTTGGTTAAGAGGTAGCCACCAGACCACAGGACAAGGAGGTTTGACCCCCAAAAGAAACATGTGAGCCCTAAACCACCAATACAGAAACGGAAGGAACATACAGGCACTTCATGGAAATGTGGGTGTTTCAATAAAAGAAAGGCCGATGTTACGTGTTGTAGGTGTCACGCCCTCTGCAGCCAGGGGGCGCTCCTTCTCTGTCCTGTCCCTAGTTTCCGGTCTGCTGTCCTTCCTGTCCCTCTCTTTCCCTTGGGCTATATATTTCC